TTAGATTTCTATGCATAAAACACATTATCAAAGAATTCATAAATTATGAAAGATTTCTGGGTAAAACATCATGCCATAATTTTAATTTGCGTGATTTTATAAAATGTTTGTTATTCATAAAAAATATTTTTTGCACTGTTCCGGATAGGTTATATCGATATGATTAAAAAATCTAGTTTGTTCGATAAATATATTAATAGTGTTAATAGGTAGCTAGTTGCATTAAAATAAATAACATACAAACTAGATTCCACCCTCCGTAACTTGCTCTACGTCAGCTACGGCGTAGCTGTGTAGTTTTACTACGGGCTTATAAAGCAGGCATACTGTAACAGATGGTAAACTAATTTATTACTATCACTGACCCAGAATCACCCGGAATTTACACCTTATCACGCGAGTACGCCCACTCGCCAATGCCGCTCGCCCCACGCCTTCCGAGCAAGTGTCTCGGCCAATCGCAACGCGACGTTCGAAATTTAAAACGGCGCTGCTCGGCTATAGTCGTTCCTGTCGTTCTCACACGAGCTTCCAAGTTTGAATCGATAGTAATTTAAAATTCATTTCGAAATTTAAATCAAATGGTATTTATTTAATTCAGTTCGGTGTTTGGTACTTGTGGTTGGAATTTGAATTTCATACATGCGTTACTTTTGTTGTGCGTAATTAAAAAAAAACTATATTTTTTTCCACTGAATATTAATTATTCAGAACTAAATAAATATACTCTATTGAACATAAATGTCATAGTAAATATTCGTTTAAGATCTTAATATTCAGGTACCAACATATACTTCACAGTATTAGGTATGATACAGATTATTATAAAAAAATTGTAGGAACACAAAGGAAAATTGTTGTACTTATACAAAATTTTCTTTCGTACTAAATCAAGCTCAGTGTTCCATTTAAGGCGCCCAAGAAAGTAATACAAACCAAATTTTATAGAACTCCAGATACTTTTCTTTTGTACCACTTACTAGTTCATCTGAGAACGGTTGCGAGCCCCCTGTGCATAAGATTTTTTATATAAAAAAGACTTCGCATAGATGCATGGGCATGCATGAAGGGTGTTAAGTAGAATTTATGTGGTGATTTTTTCTCACTCCAAACCCTTTAGACCAAAAATAGTAAAGAACTATTTTGGTAGGTACCTGCTGATTAAAAAAAAATAGGTAAGTAAAAAGGTTCTTTCGAGTCAAATGAATTGAAGACAATGAAAAACCAAAGTGTTGCCAGTAAAAGACATACACAATAAGCATTAGTCACACCTGCGTCATTTCTCTCTTGGGTAATTACTACATTAGCTACCATTTTATATAGACCCATACACTCTTGAAATTTATTGCGTCAAGAGGAATCAAGTAGAGATGGTGCCTTGGAGGCGAATTACATTGACAGAGACATCGAATTGGTCGTTTCAAGTTAAGTCATGGGTAGAAATGTAAAGCGTGGGAATATTTGACTAGTATGCCAAATGTACTTAATCTTTACAGGAATATTACTTCTTGTTAAGTCTTTCTCGATAATTCGTAAAGTAATTATTTCCTTACTACTCTTAAATAAGGTCAAATAATTATCTATTTACAATGATTTTTTGCGGTTACATTTGTTTCTTAATATTTTATTATAAAAAAATTCCGCATATACGTTTTTTGTATGTAAATTTCAGCGAAAGTAATTAGGTCACTCACACCCCCGTAACTCGAGTAGCCTACGTGAAACGTGACAACGGGCTGCGTCACGTAAACGTAACCCAATTATACGCGACGTGACGTTCAGAAATTCGACAGCGCGCCCGGCGAGCGAGCCACTGGGCCACACCACCACCGTATAGTTGCGAGCTTGTTTCGTATGCCTGGCGTACGCCGGGCCGGTTCGGCGCACACATCCAACGCCGACGCCGTATAGTTTTGATAGCAGATCCTCTCAATGACCGCTGGACCGACAGACTCGGCACACGTGTTTTTACCGCCACACCGTCTTTTACCAAAATGCATGTAAATAGTGACGCATGCACAGGCGCGTGTTACGGAGCGGTCCGATGCGCGCGCGGGAAAAGTTTGGCAGTTGACATTCGCGCGCTTTTATTTTATTTTTCCAAAACATGGCAGTGACTTTTCGTGCGGCGCCTACTCAGTGTTTGGCTTGTTGTGACTTTATTTAGACTGAAAATAGATTATTTTTACTCGAAACTTTATACTTCTGTGACTATGCGTACACTGTGGTATAAGTAGAGCAGTGAGAAAGTGTTTCTTGTGACTTGGATGTTCGAATTAGTTACAAGTATAATATGTATTGATCGACATTAGTAAGTTTTTCAAGATTCTACTCAAATGGAAAAAACATGTGAAGTGTTATGTAAAATATAACAGACTTTTCAGAGTTCAGAGGCCTTTGTTACACTCCAAGAATCTGATGTTCGGTAAATATTTGTACAAGTGAAGAACGTGATCTTTGTTACAATATTAATTTTTTTTTTGCTACAAAGAATTCTTTCCAAAGTGTATAAAGTACGCAGTTATTTCAAAATATAGTAGTTTGCAAAACGTATGTCGGGGACGACGACTCTTGCGCACTGGAGTGTAACAAACCCCCTCCCCATTGTAAATAAAGAACTGGAAATTCAATCAATCAATCAGTTAAATTAAATATTACAGCTCGATGTATTTGTCTATTAAATTGAATGAGATCATTTATATTTTTTTAGTAAGTTACGATATAGTGGGGCTTGCTTGCATTTCTAGTTTCCTTTAAATACTTGACAGATTAGCTAAATGAGGGGGAAAATATCATTGGGCAATAGGTGCCTGGTAGGTCGCTTACATTTAACGATAGCCTGCCTATTTATAATAATGATTAAATAATAAAAATTTTTTTTATTGCAATTCGATAGCGGATTCACCACTGTCCGCCCGCAGACAACACAAAATTGTAATAAAATGCACATATAAGGTACACCCAGTAAAGGCTGTACTTGTCTATGCCAAAACCTTTCTAATAATAAACTAGACAGATAGACAGATAAACACTTTATTGACTAGTGTGATACAAATATTGATTGAATACAACAGGAATAATAAAACATTTTTTGTCATGGCAGTGAAATGGCGCTGACTCAGCATATGCCTAAGTTCCCTAAGACGCTGGTTTTCAGTCAGAACCTACGAGAGGTACTAAATCTAGAAGTTATTTGTAATATAAACTAAATTAGGTACACATTTGTGTACATGTACACAATTGTAAAATAAACTAGGTACACAAACAAAACTTGTAAAGTCACAGATTTGTTGTAGACCTGTTTGTATTATAAACCAATTTGCGCAGGCACATAAATACAAATAAGTGCACTCTACAACCATAGTAGGTACTGTCACTTGCTGTACCTAGGTAATATCACAACCTACCTAACCCCAGTAATTGTAATACTTACTGATATGGTTCGAATAGCTAGTATAATCTAACTTTTCCATTCCTTGTTGAAGTTCAATATTATTTAGCCGAATTCCCCTAAACGCCATGTAATTGTTGTTCTAAAGTTTTTCAATTCCTGAAAATCCGAGTCACCGCCGGCTATCGGCATCCACACGCTAATGTTCTCCTTGATCCGTGCTTGCTTACTCAAAGTGTATCTCTCCCATAGCCCAATTACCAAATTAAAAACTATCAGTTATAATAGCAGTAACTCGTGTTCCTAAATTTAATTCTATAAAACCACAAAAAAGAACTATTTTAACGAATTGTGTACAAAATAGTGTTTTGAAAACAATTAATGAAAGTCTGTGTTGAAAAATTCAAGTTGCCTGTGTAAAATTGGAAACAATGCCGTCTGCCGCCAGTCTAAACTTTGAACAAGGAATAAATGACCTTAGTAATATTTCCAATCGTCAGTTGTTTTTAATAAATCAATATCTGAGCGTTAATATTAAGGATTAGATTGGAAGAAGGGATTAAATATTAAGGACAATTTTATAAAATTAAAATACAAGATAAATTATATAAAACATTATTTCCTGTGAATTGGTACAGTTACAGGAGTCGTAGTCCAACAGCTGTTATTAATGGGCAAACATGAAAAACCTGTAATCCCTTTAGGTTAACAAAACATTAACGCAATAAATACTTTAGACGAGAGCAAATAACATATCGTCTTCACTAATAGGTGTTGATCTAACAGACGAAAACAATCGTTGGGTTGCGCAAACGCACTGTGTCAATATATCAAGTGTTCGAATATTCGATTTTAAAGTTAACGTTCGCTTATAGATTTAAAGCAGATATGTATGATGGTTAATAAGCTTACCAGAAGAAATTGTTTAGTTACTCTTTTTCTTGTGAACAGGTCATAATCCCACATGTTTGGCTTTAATTTCGTTATATTTCAAGTTATTTTATTTATATTTCGAATAAATAAGTTAACTAATTCATGTTAAAAGTTTATATTAAACATTACTTATTAAGTTAAAACAAAATGCTAAACTAAACAAAATTAAACTGAAGCTTGTGTACCAAAGGTACCGTTATTAATTTTAACGGTAATTAATGATCGCTAAAGTTGTTTTAAGCATTTGATTGACAAATAAGATTATTTTTAAGTAAATAGGTATCATAATGAACTGTTTGTTTTAGGAGTCTTAGGATAATAAAATGTTAAGAAATGTGACTCGACGTCGATGCTTATACCTAAAATAATAACAAGTGATTGACTTTTTTTCTGACTTTCCATATAATTGATTCTGTACGATCTACGTTTTCAACTACAAGAAAATGTTCAGCGCAGAGTCATATTCTTAAAGACAATATTTCTAATGTAGAAACATGGAATTAGTATAAGAAAATTCGAAGTTTCTACATATGAAATATGAATGGTAAAAACTCTATTGACAGGTTAACAAGAAACTGAAGTTTGTCTGTGAAGAAAACCAAATCTATAAAAATGGTGATAAACATTGACGTATTGGGAATGGATCAGTGATTTATATAGTTCGAGATGGAGCACCCAGGCGGGTTCGCGTCGTCGCCGTGGGCGGCCATGCTGGGCCACGGCATGCATGGCATGATGCAGCATGAATACACTCATGCTCATGCGCACGCATCGATGCCTATGGATCTCCATGTTCCTCAACCGTTTCCTTATTATCGGTAAGTTAATTACTTTATTATTTTTATGGACTTCAAAAACAGAGGCTTTGTGATCCCATTTCGATGATTTTTTTGTTGGAAAGTACAAAGGAAAGGAAGATACCTCAGTGGCAAATTAGGGGTTGAATCCAATTTATTGAATTTCATGCCCTTTATAAAACTTGCCAAGTAAATGTACTTCCACAAATTTTTGAAGTCTTTTTTTAAAGTTCTAATTATTGTACAAGGTGGCGCAAAAGTAATTAATATCATAATGTAAATTGGTAACTTTGTTAGAAATGAAAAAAAAAGAGCTCTGTTTTTACAAAAAGTTTATTTGAAGATGTAACATTGATGACATTAAGTTGAAAAACTATATCCGTTGAATGACCACCTCCTGAGTTGATGCACATTTGTGCTCGTTTTACGGCAGCTTTTTGCATTGTTGCTACTGTTGGGTAATTTTCCGAAAATTTTCAAATAGTGGAAATTTTTCCGGAAAATATCCTGAAAGACTGGATAAATTGGAAATATATAATTTCGAAGGCTCATATTATGTCCTATGTTTAGGAATATCTTTTGAAGTTTCATTTAGCCTGAATAATAAAATAAACTTGTATAGCTAAAAGCCACTTAGAGAAAAACGAAATTTAAAATGATTTTACAACACCCAAAAAATCTTTTTAATGGCTCCATCTTTTCGTTCAGTAACTTCAACTTTTGACAAGCGTCAATGTTAAGTGTAGGCAATAGTGTATTAAATAAAGGAAAAATATCCGGAAAAACATTTATTTTTCTGAGAAATATGATTTTTTCAATATGGAAATTTTTCCATGACCCAACACTAATTGTTACTCACAAAACATCTGGCTCCAAATTGGCGATTTCTTAGTCAATGTTAGCTTTCAAACACTGCAAGGTTTGTGATTTGTTGTGATAAACACGAGATTTCAAAATACTACCAAGGAAGAAGTCTGGCGCTGTTAGATCTGACGATCTGGACTCTCGGCCCAGAAATTAGTGTCTCAAAATCTCCATCGTTGCCCGAGCTGTATGAGCGGTTGCTCCATCCTGCTAAAACCAACAATGCTCGAGACTCAATTCAGCAACTTGCGCTAAAACAACTCGTTTAACATCTGCCTGTAACGTTCACGTGCACATTCGGTGTCCTCAAAACAACAGTCCGAAAATTGGTCCAATAAGCAGTAAGAATAATTCTACGTTCTTCGTGTGTATTGCTTCATTGCTAGTTGTCAACTAATTCTCTATTTGTCTAAATACAACATAGATGTCAAAGCCCAATACCATTTGACGCCGTTTGCAAAAATTAAGGCACATTTACATTATGACATTATTTTTTCGCGACCTACATTGATCTAAATGGCCACTTATTATAAATTGATATGAAGATACTGTTTATTATATATATTAATACTATGTATATTAATACTATGTAGATATTTTATGAAACTTTAGTGGTTTATTATTTATTCCCGCCTTTTGTTAATTGGATCTCGATGAAATTGGTTCGCAGCTAAATACACCGTTGTACACGTACTGTTTATTGCTACGTAATATATGCTTGGTTATTATGATCTACAATACACAATTGTTATTGTTGTTGTATTACCTTACAAAAATGTTGAATGTTTAATGTATCAGCGAATAATATTAACACTATGTTGCTTTTTTTAATTATTTACTTTCCAATAAAAAGGCATGCGACAGATATATACAACAATTTTGTCAAAGATTAATATCTTAACAATTATCGTATGGACAGGACAAGTGAAATCGTTAAAAAGTGGATATGTCAGATATGGTTAGTTATTAGGTCTGGATGCCGTCGGCAGCGCGGCCGCAGCTTTTTGCGCTCGCGCATAAGTTACGTCGCATAGCGTAACGCACCAATGTGACAACTCGGGGAAATTGTTTCTTCCGAAAGGGTGTCGTTCACATTACTAAAAGTTGCAGTGACCTGTGAATATTCTATTACTACGTTCACGCAGATTCGTTAAGTTTTTGAAAAGTTTTTGATAAATTTGCATTCTTTACACTTATATCATTAGACGGAGTGTGCAAAAAAGGCACACTACATACAGAAAAGTTTATTAAACTATTTATTTGGAAATATTACATTCGAAATTACATTCGAAAATCAGTAAGCCAAAAGTTTCTATAAGGTAAAATCACAAGTCCAGTGTTTGAAACGGGTCCCGAGATATCAATTCCCTTTTAATATCAATTCGAATTTCGATCTTGAAACGAAACACTGTCATTTATATGTCGCCAGCGCCACTAATGTCGGTTCGCACTATAATCTGTGCGCATACGCAGTCTGAAATTACAATCCAAAATGGAGGGCAACCTTGTCATTTGGCGCGTTGTGGGTCGAGATGGTCACCACTCGGACAATTCCTAATTATACACCCAGGACTTCTAAAGTTCGGTTTCCGATTTCGAACGACTTCCTTCGGTGACGTGTCCTTTGTAATTTGATCGATGAGCTCAATGAGTAATTATGATGCCGATTTTTTGGTGAATGTATTTCTACACAAACGTAACTATACAGAATTTCTTTAATGCATAAGTTTCGTAATACATTTCGCAATAAAAGATTCGGCGTACAAAAATAAGCGCTCATGCAAAAAGCACAAATATCTCGCGTTGATTGAGTTGAAGTTGATCGTACGTGGATGCACTCATAAATTGACTGACCAAAATAAAATACCAAATTAGAATTTCAAACACTGTTTTTACGTTAAGCCGAGAACTAACAGCAGCTGTATTTGGGAGCTACTTCATTACAGTCTAGTGTCGATTGAACGCGGCCCTCCGGTAATAATTGGGATTCGCGACCGCTTTTCTCTTTATCATCAATAATTAATGAATCCGAATGGGTATGCGGTGCAAGTAAACGCACCACGGCCGAAAGGTGCCCTGCTTTGAGGCTTTTTGTAAATTCTTCGGATATATAACATTCAATGGTACGTTTCAATGAATCAAAATACCACCAGAATTTCAGATAGCCAAACTAATCCGCTTGTTATTGAGTTGGAACTTCACTTTTCTGGAAATTTACTCAGTATTAATACTTTGTAAGGATAGACAAACATGTTCCATAAAAGGACTTCGAACACAAGCTTCATAAATCAAGAGACGGTTCAAAAAACTGTCCCTACTATCTTCAATTGCCCTTTAATTCCTCTTTAAGAGTACCGATCGTAAAATACGTCACAATTAGTCAGGTAAAAGCTTGTTTTATTTATAGAATAAAAGTTCTTATCCTTTAGTTATTTAAAGATAAATTTCATTTCCTAAATGGTGTTTTGTTCATGTTAACTAAATCGTAATCGTAGAGGTTGCAATCGTATTTCGTTATATTAAAAAAACAATCTGAGCTTCTTTGATATTTTTTATGACACCAAGTGTCGAGACAAACAAGTCGTGCGCCTGGTGACAAGCGACACGCCTCTCCATAACTGTTACAGTGCCACTCAGAGCTTTAAATGCAAAGACCCGGGGGGCACTGCCACTGCGCCCGTCACCCTCAGACATAAGTTGACAAGTTCTATGTGCCTGTAATTACATTACCATTCAAAACAGGAATGCAGTAAAGGTCACATTACTGCTTGGCGGTAGAAATAGGTAAAGTGGCAGTACTTCCCTGGTAGAACTCTTTCACAAGGAGCTCTATTGCTACGAAATTAAATGGTCATTGTTACGAGCTTTTTTGGGAGTCACTGTTCAACAATATTGATCAGATTGTTTTCTACTGAAAAAAAACTGAATTCGAGGATTTAAAAATGACTAACACGTGATCAAATGAATCCTTTCATCATCATGAAATGGGTCTCATCTAAGGAGACGTTTCTCAATAATCTTCTTCGACACGTAGAACTCATCACGATGTTTTGTTTTAGGCTTTCCTCTCGCTGACGGTAAAAGTCATCAGTCAGTCATCAATCAGTAATGTATTATTTACGACATTTTGTAAATAATACATTACTAAACATTGTACTATGAAAAATTTACATAATTACGTAATTTAAAAATCTAAGTCATTCAGTAGGTAGATATGTACCTATTATTCTACTATACTCTATCGGTATGTGCCGATACAGCATAGTAGAATAAAACAAATAGGGTAACTCCGTCCAAAATAACGGCACGCTATATTATATGTGCGCGCAACCGCCGCGCGCCGTGTATGAACGCACACATTCGCATAATAATGGACGACTGACGAGTGACGACCAGTGTTAGGCCACGTTAGTGCATCGCTAGATTATGCAAATGTGTACCGCCGTACACCGCGTACACATACAAGCCGCGTTGTGACGGTTGTATGGAGTTATCATACTTGTACTTATTCTAGAATGGCCACAGGGAGTTCAACCTTTAATTTCTCAAATAGCAATCATTCTTTCACTGGGCTACCACTGCTCAATATTCTTATTTTTTGTGTAATAAGTAATATAATAATATTACGGCGCTTCAGTAAAAACCTAGACTCTGCCCTCGGGAAGATATTTTGCAATGCATTCATTATTCAAGTAAACCGATAGCTAGAGTTTTGCAAGCTTTTAGCACATTCATGGCACTTTGAAAAGATTTGACAGCGTCCAACAACTTAAACTGTTATTTCGAACAAATTATTGCTAGTCGTGACTTACAATAGAAGCAGGGTCTTCTGATTGCATTTGCTTCAAGTTGGCGTGCGAAATGTGAACTATCAACAATATCTTTGAAAGATGGTTTTCGTTCATGGTTATGTAGCTGTGTGTCGTAAGAGCAACAAACATTTTTTTTGTTTGTTGCAAAAAATTTGCTTGTTTTTGTGGTTTGACTATTCCTCCTACAAAATGTGATGAAATAGCGAATTTCTCTATTTTCGAAAAGTCTTGTACTAAACTAAAACCAATAGAGGTCACATTTATAGGCGTTTCAGTATAAGCAACATTGAATACAAATTTCATGCACTTTCGACCCTTAGTTCGAAGCGGGCTAATTGGAAAATA